AGTTCTTCAACTTTTAGTTTCTTGCAATTATGCATGCATGTTTTTAATTTGGTATGATTTAGGCCCAAATGTTTTTCAATGTCACATTTTGGTCTATTTCATTTTCAAGTTGAATTAGAACCCTAATGTTAAAGTATGCAACCATGTTTATACGGAGGATTGTGAGGTACACATATACTTTTCCTCACTCCTAACTGAATCCCCGAACCCCAATCTCTATGTAAACTCATTTTCGGTGACTTGTCCCACCTAAGTGATGACTCTTTCTTTTATATTTTTCACACTTGATTTTTCATTATTTCTTTTAAATTTTGAAATCTTAAGTGGTCGTTAATAGTTAGGATATAACCACAAAATAAATTTTGTTGTTTTGGGACACGGTTAATTTTTCTTCTGCTAATAAAAAAAATTTGGTAATTTTTCTCAAAGGGGGAATTTGGGGTTGGCATTGGTGTTTTCTTTAGCCAAGAATTAAAACATAAGTAATTCGAGTGTCTCTTTAAGTTATGCATATCTGACTTTTAATTTCTTATTATATATATATTTGCAGAATGAATAAAAGTTGGATTAATCTCCATTGGAATAATCCTAAATATATGGAGAGTGTTTGTAAATTTCTTGACTTTGCATTTAATGGTCATGAAAAAGGGAAGGCACTTCGATGTCCATGTGAAAAATGCCATAATGATATATTTCTCACCAGAAAGTTTATGTACAAACACCTGATGGCTAATCACTTTGACAAAACGTATGTGTGATGTTATCATCATGGTGAGTCATTTTATTATGAACCTGATAAGGAGAGTGATTATGATATGCATGAATATGAAGGAATGCAAGAAATGCTACATGATATTGGATGTGCTTATAACATCAATGACGGATTAGATGAACCTATTGGGACTAGTTCGAGCAATGCTAATAAGGAAGTTGTGGAGTTTTTAGACTTTTGAAGGAAGTAGACAAAGAACAATATCCCAATTGTCAGCATTTCTCTCGACTATCTTTTATTGTGCAACTAATGAACATTAAAATTTTTTATGGGTTAAGTGGGAAAGCAATTGATGCAATTTTAGAATTGTTGGTAAAAGTTCTTCCAAAGGGTAACAAGGTCCCTTCCTCATTCTATGAAGCAAAGAAGATTTTTGAAGATTTATGATTAAACTATGAGAAGATAGATGCTTATGTGAATGATTGTATCCTTTATCGTGGAAAATATGAAAAAGAACTATCATGCCCTGTTTGTAGTGTTAGCAGATGGAAAAATGGTGGAGAGCAAGATAGAGGCAAGCAACTTCCTTGTAAGATTTTGTGTTATTGTCCTCTAAAGGATAGGATTAAGAGATTGTACATGTCACATAAAATGGCATTAGAGATGAGATAACATGAAGAAAAGCGTCTTAATGATAGATTTATGAAACATCCGACAGACTCTTTGGCTTGGAAAAGTTTTGACTCTCAACATCCTTCTTTTTATGTGGATCCACGTAACATATGACTCAGGCTTGTTAGTGATGGTTTCAATCCTTTTGAAAATATGAGCATGTCTTACAGTATATGGCCAATGGTTTTGGTGAGCTATAACCTACCAACTTGGATGGGCATGAAAGATTCGTATCTCATGTTGTCTATGCTTATTCTTGGCCCTAAAACTCCAAGAAATGACATTGATGTATACCTTCAACCTCTGATAGATGAATTGAAGGATCTATGGGAAAATGGAGTGGAGGTGTATGATACAGCATCAAAAGTGTAACTTTAATGTGCGAATAGCTTAGATATGGATGACTAGTGACCTTTTGGGTCATGTAGTATTGTCGGGATACAGTACAAAGGGTAAATTTGGATGTCCAACTTGCAATACTAAGACTTGATTATTAAGGCTCCAAAATGGTCATAAAACATGTTATATGGGTCATTGTCGTTTTCTTCCACTTGACCATCCTTGGCGTAAAGATGCAGAGGCTTTTGATAGAACAACCAAACATCATCATGCACCTAAAGAGTTGACAAGAAAAGATGTTGTTGAACAATATAAGCTATTGAATCAAGTATGCTTCTAGATTATTCTTATTATATATATATTTTATCAACAAAAAACACATTTTATTATGTAAAGGGATACTCTTACTGAAAAATAATAAGAGCAGATAAATTGTTATTAGGCTAGCAGCAATAAACAAACATAAACATTCCTATCAAACCCCTTGCTAGATAAAACAAACATCTAGTATTTTAGGGAGTACATTGCAACTATGTTTGAATAGGCAATTTCAGAACTAACCTTGGATTTCTGTACCATTGATCTTGTATTACATCATCCCAAACTTTAGCTTTAATCCATCGCTAGGATCTACATTTGATTAGCTTAAAAACATTATCTTGAGAATCGACCTCCTCCTTACAAATGCTTTGGTTCCTCCATGGCCAAATAGTCCATACAGTGGCATTCATCTCTTAAAAATTCTCTTGGAATCAAGCCCAAGTGTTGTAAAAAATTGGCCCTTATCGTTATCATTAGTTGTGTTCGTGACTCTCCATCAATTATAACAAAGTGTCCAAATTTGACAAGAAGCCTGAAAGGAGAAGAGTGAATGGTCCTCTGTTTCTTCATCCTTTCCACAAAGAACACAAGATAAGTCTACCCCTCTTGTAGTGTTCCTCTCTTCAATAGATTAGATTTGGTTGGTAGCTAATTTTGTAAAGCCTTCACACAAATGCTGCAATTTTCAGTAGTATTTTCTTGTCCCAAATAAATGTAAAATTGTCTACTACTTGCTAAACTTGCTCCTATGTAGATTTAGGCCTTTATATGCTGATTGTACTATATACAATCCTTTTTTTTCATAGTTTTAGTCCCAGCATGTTGTTTTCCTTGCACTAGGTTCACTCCTTCGAGATGCAATTGTAAGTTCTATAAAAGAGTTTTCCCAAATAAACTAATGTCTCTAGTTCCTCATTTTCATTTCCACTCCCATACGCCTTCCTTCCAACTTCCCATTTATGCAACTAATGCATTCTTATATGTTGTTATATTATACATCCTCCTATATTTTTCCTTTAATGTTTTTTTTTTCTCTACCCAAATCTCATCCAAAAAGAAGTTTCCCTACCCTTTCCAACCATTTTAAATAACCCCTTATTTAACCATTCTTGTCTGGACTTTATGAACCTATGTATACGCCATAAATCATTCCATCTACCCAAAGGATATAATATTATATTCTTCTATTCTTTATTATTGTTAATAATTTTATTATTTAATTTTTACGTATCATTATTGTCATTTATGAATAATTTTCATTAGGCGACATTTGGCAAAACAAGGAAACAAAAGAGAGGGGAGGAAACATTACTAGGTAACTGGAGGAAGAAAAACTTTTTCTTTTTTTTTTTTTGAGTTGCCATATTGGGAAACCCTTATCATATACCATAATTTGAATGCCATGCATATTATGAGGAATGTATTTGTTAGTTTATTTGGTACTATGATGAATATTAAGGGAAAGATGAAGGATACAATTAATACCCATTGTGATCTAGAACTTATAGGTATTCGTCCTGAACTTTAAGCAAAATTAAAAGGCAATAACAAGTACAGTTTTTTCTTTGCATGCTACATATTATCACCAAGTGAAAGAAAGGATTTATGTAAGTTTGTACGTGCTATAAAGGTTTCAAATGGTTATTCCTCCAATATTACTCGCTATATTAATGAGAATGAATTTAATTTAGCTAGAATGAAATGTCATGATTGTGATGTTTTTTTACAACATCTCCTTCCATTAGCTATAGGTGGTGTGTTGAAAAAGGAAGTGTGTGAGCCACTAATAGAGCTAAGTGGCATTTTTAGGAAATTGTGTGCTAGAAAGATAAATTTAGAAGACATGGAATCACTCGAGAAGCCAGTAGTTGTAACACTCTGCAAGTTGGAAAAGGTCTTCCCCCTGTCATTTTTTGATGTAATGATTCATTTACTTGTACATTTGCCTAAGGAAACAAAAGTTGCAGGCCTTGTTACTTATAGGTGCATGTACCTTGTTGAAAGATTCTTACATAGGTTGAAGTCATTTGTTAAGAATACTGCTCATGTAGAAAGATCAATTGTTGGGGTTTATATTGTTAATGAAGCTGTGACATTTTGCTCATTATATATGTCTAGAGTTGAGAAAAGACTAAATTGTGTTGTAAGAAATTATGAGGGGATGGATGAATTAACTACTTACAACTTCAAATTTTTAAGCATATTGGGAGACCATTAGGAGGAAACAAATATGAGGATTTGAGCTTCATGGAATGGGATCAAGCTTAAAGTTATGTGTTTCATAATTGTGAGGATATAAATGAGTTTATCAAGTAAGTTTTTGATTCTTGAATTTTTTTTTATTTATTATAAGTTCTGACTTTTACCTATATCTATTTTAAAATTTTAATTTTTAATCATCTTGTGAAAGCTTGCATAAGGAAGAATTGGAGTTGGATAGTTTGGATATTGTGGCACCAAGGGTTGAGAAAGAATTTGATCTATGGTTCAAAAACTGTGTAAGTGTTTTAGTTTTTAATTAATGGTAATTTTGGTAATCATATTGTTATGTTAGTATAAGGATCACCAAATCGTGTTATTTGCAATTGCTCCTTTGTATTTTGCAAACTAGAATTAGACCATGGTATTTCTAGTGATTTTAGTTACTCTTGTGCCACAATTTTCTAAAGCTTTTTGGCTTTCTTTATGTGGTTTTTTATTTATTAATTTTGTGCATAATACAAAATGGTTACACAAATTTGGTCTAAATGATTCTCTTGATAGGGTTTGGTAGTTGTTACATCTTGGTATAGGTAAAATCTTTAGGGCTAAGTTGGAAACACTTTATTTATTTTATTAAAACTTTTCCCCACAAGAA